AAAGATCCCTGCTCATCCATGGGATCCCTGCTCATCCGTAGGATCCCTGTTCATCTATCCATAGGAAAGATCCCTGCTCATCCATGGGATCCCTGTTCATCCACAGGATCCCTGCTCATCCATAGGATCCCTGCTCATCCATAGGAAAGATCCCTGTTCATCCATGGGATCCCTGCTCATCCATCCATAGGATCCCTGCTCATCCACAGGATCCCTGTTCATCCACAGGATCCCTGTTCATCCATGGGATCCCTGCTCATCCATAGGATCCCTGCTCATCCATAGGAACGATCCCTGCTCATCCATGGGATCCCTGTTCATCCCTGGGATCCCTGTTCATCCATCCATAGGAAAGATCCCTGCTCATCCATAGGATCCCTGCTCATCCATAGGATCCCTGCTCATCCATCCATAGGATCCCTGCTCATCCATCCATGGGATCCCTGTTCATCCATGGGATCCCTGCTCATCCATAGGAAAGATCCCTGCTCATGCATGGGATCCCTGCTCACCCATAGGATCCCTGTTCATCCATCCATAGGAAAGATCCCTGCTCATCCATAGGAAAGATCCCTGCTCATCCATGGGATCCCTGTTCATCCATGGGATCCCTGCCCATCCATGGGATCCCTGTTCATCCATGGGATCCCTGCTCATCCACAGGATCCCTGTTCATCCATAGGATCCCTGTTCATCCATGGGATCCCTGCTCATCCACAGGATCCCTGCTCATCCATGGGATCCCTGCTCATCCATGGGATCCCTGCTGGCATCCCCAGGCTGTGCTGCCTGCTGCACCCCCTGCAGCCACGTGCTGCTTCCAAGCAGCTGCCCAAAACTTGCCCTGGATCCTTGCTATCCCGCTGGGAGCATCAGGAACGACTGAGGGGCTATAAAAAGTCTCTTTGCTATCAGATGGTCAAGCCCTGGGATGATTCCAGGATTGCTTCCAGAACCCCAGCCTGGCCCAGAGCCTCCTCCTGGCCTCCCTGAGTGCTCCCAGCTGAGAGAGTCGCTGATGCACCATAAATAAACCTCAGAGCCTCAACCCTGCTCCAAAATACCAGGGGAACTCCTCCATTTAGGCTGTGCTGCCTCTTGTCCCCTGCATGTGACCCTGGTTGTCCCAGCAGATTCCTGCTCCATGAGGTAAGCTGGCTGGGATAAATGGGAATGCATGGAGCTGCCTGCACTCAGCCTCTGGGTATTTGTTGCTAGAAATGGTCAAAAAGTTGGGCAGGGAAACTGGAGGGGTGGCTGGTGGGGTTTAGTGAGATTTGTGTGGTAATAAATTAGGGTTAAATTAATGCTGGTAATAAATCAGGGTTAAATTAATGCTGAAAATAAAAGTTGTATATATAAAAATGAATACTATAAAATATAACTATAACTGTAACTATAAATATAAATATAAATATAAATATAAATATAAATATAAATATAAATATATTTTATAGTATTCATTTTTATATATACAACTTTTATATATTTTTATATATACAACTTTTATATACAACAATATATATATTATTTATATAAGATTATATATTATATATTATATAATGCTATATAATATATTATTATATATAGTATATATAGTATATATAGTATATATAGTAAATATAGTATATATATTATACTATATAGAGTATATATACTATATATACTATATATACTACATACTATATACACTATATATAGTATATAATATATACTATATAATATATACATTATATACTATATATACTATATATAGTATATAATATATAGTATATATTATATACGATTATACTATATATAATATATATCATAGATATATTATATATAGTATTTATATTTATATCAATATTATATTTAAATTATTTATTTAAATAATATTTATTTAAATAAAAAAAATATATAGGAATAAATATCTCTAAATACAGAAATAAGACTAAATTATAAGTTCAAAAATTTCTCTATAAAATATAAATGTATAAAAATCTATGTATTTTTTACAGATTTAAAATCCATATAGATAACTAAATCTATATATTTTTAGCCTGGAAGTGTTCAAGGGCAGATTGGACAAGACTTGGAGCAAACTGGGATATTGGACGTTGTCCCTGCCCATGGCAGGGGGTGGAACAAGGTGGACTTTAAGGTTCCATCCAACCCAGACCATTCTGGGATTCAATGATATGATTGAAATAAATAAATAGAAATATATAAATAAAAATAAAGCTTAAAATAAATGTGTGTGTGTGTATATATATATATATATATATATATATACATATATATATGTGTGTGTGTATATATATATAAAATGTGTAAGTAACTACAAGAATATAAATAAAAATAAAAAATTAAAACAAGATCATGGAATGGGCCACCTACAGTAGAAAAAAACAGTTAAATCCAGAAGTGTGCAGCCTCTGGATTCAGGAAAGCCAGGTTTTGTGGGATCCCTGCTGAAAATCACCTGGATGGAGGAGGTTCCCAGTGTTCCGTTTCCCAGGGATGATGCTGGTCAGGGTGGGCACTGTGGGGCTGTGTCCTGCTCAGGTCACATGCTGGGACCAAATTCCAGTGTTAATTATAATCCTGTGTTAATTTATAATCCATTCCAAAGGGAAAGCTCTGCAGCTGAGCATTTTGGGGTGATAGATGCGAAAAACAGAGCAGGAAACAGCACAGGAGCTTCAGCATGGACAGACAGCTGCACAGGAGACTCCAGAGCCCCCTCCAGGCTCAGGCCTGTCCAGAATCCCCATCAGAGAATCCCAGGATGGTTTGGATTGGAAAGGACCTTAAATCCCATCCCATCCCACCCCTGCCATGGCAGGGACACCTCTCACCATCCCAAAATCCCACATTGCTCCAAACCCCATCCAACCTGGCCTTGGGCACTTCCAGGGATCCCAGGCAGGAAAATGGGAGAGGTTTGCTGTGAAAAGGAATCACTTTGGCCAAAATCTCTTTAAAAAGTGGGTAAATTATAGGCTTTAAACTTTCCAGTGTGATGTGTAAATAAATGGCTTAACTCTTGGATTGCTCCTGTGGAAGTGAGAGGGTCTGGCCTATTACCTACATGGCTAAGTAGGGATTTGTGTGGTGATCTCTCTTTCTTTTTTCTATTTCTGTAATTTTTATTTCCATTTCTTTCTATTATTTCTATATTATTGTGTGCTACTATAATACTATATATTATTTCTAATTTTGTAATAATGTGGAGGTTATTATTTTTTACTGTTTATATTTAATGTTTGAAGGTGTTACTAGGCTCTGTCACAGCGCTCACATTTACATATGAGTGACTACACCTGGGAAATTCCACATTTTATCCAAATGTTATGTTACCTTTCCAGCCAAGGACAATGCTTTTTTCCAACAGGCTTGCAGGAAAAACGTTCTCAACTTGATTTTTAACCTTTACAGAGCAGGAAATTCATCCAAAGGAGATACTGGGCATTGCTGGATGTTGTTCTTAATGGAAAGATATTCTTCTTTTTCCCCTTTTTTATTTCTCTTTTTTCTCTCTTTTTTTTCTTTTTTCTCTTTTTTTTTTCCTCTTTTTTTCTTTTTTTTTTTTTTTCTTTTTTTCCTCTTTTTTCCTCTTTTTTCCTCTTTTTTTCTCTTCTTTTTCTCCTCTTTTTTCCTCTCTTTTCCTCATTTTTCCTCTTTTTTCCTCTTTTTTTCTCCTCTTTTTCTCCTCTTTTTTTCTCCTCTTTTTCTCCTCTTTTTCTCCTCTCTTTTTCCTCTTTTTTTCCTCTTTTTCTCCTCTTTTTCTCCTCTTCTTCTTCTCTTTTTCCCTCTTTTTTCCTCTTTTTTCCTCTTTTTTCCTTTTTTCCCTCTTTTTTCCTCTTTTTTCCTCTTTATTCCTCTTTTTTTCCTCCTCTTTTTCTCCTCTTTTTTTCTCCTCTTTTTCTCCTCTCTTTTTCCTCCTTTTTCCTCCTTTTTCCTCTTCTCTTCTCTTCTCTTCTCTTCTCTTCTCTTCTCTTCTCTTCTCTTCTCTTCTCTTCTCTTCTGCATTTTTCTCTTTTTTCCCTTTTTTTTCTCCCTTTTTTCTCCCTTTCCCTACCTTTTTCCTCCTTTTTTCCCATCCTGCCATTACAAAAGTTGTCCATTTTCCCCTCCAGACATCAGGCATCCAGAAGAGCTCTCCCTTTTGAGGAAACCCAGAGATCCATCAAAGAAAAAAAAGAAGAAATTGGACGATCAATGTGAGGACGACACCTTCGAGCTGGAGGGGCCTCTGATCACGCCAGGGTCGGGTGAGCTGGCAACAAAAAAAACGGGATCAGGGTTAAAAACGGGCACAGCACCGTGGGGCTGCTGGAATTTCTGAGGGTCTGTGCAAGCAGCAGACCCCAGGTCCATGGCACAGGTCCTGGCAGGCTGCAGCACTCGCTGGCACGGATGCATGTGTGGGGCTGGAGCTGTCACGCATTTCTGGGAGCTGAGCAACCCCCAGGCTTCACAGGGCAGCCCAGAGCCCAGGGGTGGCCGCTGGAGCACTCAGATGGTGTTGCTGAGAGCTTTTCTTAGCCTGTTAAGAAAGGAGTTAAATGGAAAATCGTTGCTCATGTCTACATTCCTGGCGTGGTTTAGGCTGTGCCACCGTTCTGCTCCGTGTTCACAGCCCAGCAAGGGCAGGGTTTTATTAATTGCTGTCGTGTTGCTTTACATGAACGGTGTAGCTGTGGATTGTGATGCTAAAAAAATCCTTTTATTGCTGGGGGCTGGTTGGCCAGTGGGGATTCCAGATCCAGAGCAGGATTGGGAAGGGAATTTCTGCTGGAGTAACATCCCTGATGAAGTAACATCTCTGATGGAGTTGCCACAGGCAGCAAATTGATGCAGGTGTTTGCAAGCAGAGGGGGTTTTTCAGCTTTTTTCCATGGCTGCTGGAAGTCTGGTGTCTGAAGGCAAATGGCAGGAGTTTAAACCATAATTTTGGCCAAGTGGGAGCACTTTATCCCAAATGGATTTGTGGAGAAAGCCACAGTGGTGAGCAGGAGAGACGGGTCTGGCTGCCAAAGCTCTCGGGTTTAAATCCAGCAATCCAAGGGCAGCAGGGCAGCTTTAATTAAAAAAACTACCTTGGAATTGTAAAGTAGTGTTAATTGATGTTAAATCAGCTGCAGGGAAGGTCATAGAGTGTGGTTAATGCCAGTGGTGGCACAGGGCTTGCAGAAAGGAAGGTTTTGGCTGTGCGGGCTGATGTGCACCACGGGGCTGGAACAAGGAAAAATAATCCTCCTTCTGCTCTGATCCCACTCTTTCTCCTCTCTTAAAATTAAAAATACTTCTGGCCTTGTCCTCTTCCACTCCTGGCTCAGAGAATTTGGGCAAGGCTCCAGTCAATTTTCATTTCCATTTGGCATTTTCATCTTGAAAGTCCATTCTAAGCCTTTCCAACAGGCAGTGTTCACAGAGAGCATCTCTGTTAGATTAATAGGAAAGACTTGGCCTTCTTTGGGGGAAATGTATGCAGAAGCTGGGTTTTATTTTAATTATTTATGGCTCTTCCAGTGAGTCACTTGGCTGGTTTTGCTCTCCTTGTGAATGAAATCACTCACAGCAGGTTGAATTCCTGCCTGTTCAGGTGCCATTCAATAAAAGCCGTGGGTTTCATCTGAATAAATCATTGCTAGTGTTGTTCCAACATCAGTTTGTGTGCTGAAAGCTTCTGGAAAAATAATTAATAATTCAGGAGGTGCTGATTTCAATGTCTTGGCAGTGTTCTGTCACTGAGTACCCCAAACCTGGCAGTGAAACCATTTAAATCCCAGGGAGCAGAGTTGTCAATACACCCACAGGATGTGTTGCCCAACACTTTCCATTAGAAGACCTGTAGTCACTTGTTTATATAAATTAGCCAAATTTGTAGCTATTTCTGCTGGAACTTTCCATGACACTGCCTGCCTGGGGCAAATTTTTTAAGGGAAGCTTCTTTTGAGATGTTTCAGGTGTTTGGAGAAAGAGATGAGGAGAAAAGTGCAGGGGAAGCTTTGCTCTGATGGAGCAGACACTCAGTCAGGAGTGTGGGGGATATTCATGGAAAAACTTGCCCAAAATTTGGGGCAAAAAGTGGGATTTTCTCTTGTTGTTCCAGTTGATGCTCAGCCTTGTGTGCTTGAGCCATGTGAAGGCTGAAGCTGCAGTGAGGGTGGATGGGGAGGAGGGAAGAGCTCCTTTGGGAAGTGGTTTATGGGGGTTTATGGCTGGTTTTTTTTGGAGTTCTCTGCTCCATTGCTGTAACAATCCATGGGGAGAGCAGCTTCCTGCTGCTTTTGTAATCACAGAATCACAGGATAGCTCAAGGAAGGGATCCTCAGGATTGTGGAGTCCCAGCTCTCAAAGTGCAAACACCTGGTCTAAATACCTGGAAATCATCCCTGGCCTTTTCCTTGCAAATGAAGGTGGATTTTTCCATCCTTTGACATCCCTGCTGCTTTTTTTCTCCTGCCTGGTTTGCTGGCTCTGTCTTGGTGACAGATCCCCATGGTGCTTACAGGTCCCCAGATTATCCATCCAGACTGGGATGCCAGCAAAACAAGCAGGAGCATTAAAAGCATCCTTGTTTGGTGGTTTTCACTTACATTTTCCACACTGTCAGGCAGTTCAGAATCAGGTTTGTAATTATTTGGAGTTTCCTAGCCATGATTTTGGCTGTCAGTGACATTGATGCTGCTGATTCCCACCATCCTTCCTGTTACTTGAGAGCCCATTGTGACAACTGAGGGTTCAGAAAGGTTTTTCCTTTGGTTTGGTCTTGGACTTTTCCAGTCCAGCTCAGTTTTCTGTCATTCCTTGGCCATGAGGGTGTGGGGATGGTTTGGAGCAAGGAGCTGGAGCCAAGGTGGTGGCTCAGGGCAGCAGCAGGAGGTGGCACAAAAGGTTTTGTTTGTGACATTTCAACTTTGTCACCGTCTTCAACACCCTCAGCAGAGCTCTGGGAGGAAGAGCTTGGGTGCATTGAGTTGCAGGCTCATGATTTAGGAAGGATTTTTTTCCGAAAATCCAGTGTGGTGTTGGACCTGCTGGTTCTGGTGGGCAGATTTGTGCCCAGCAGGTGATGCTGGGTGAGCTCCTGGCCTGATGTGTGCACACAGGGGAATTCCTGGCATTAGGAGATGGTGGTTGATCCTCCCTTATTCTGAAAATCTGGATTTTACATAAAAATTCAGTGTCCCTGTGAGGTGAAGAAAGGCTGTTTGATTGGATTGTTTGGGATGGAAGGGACTTAAAAAGGGACTTAAAGCATTTCTCATTCCACCCCCTGCAAGGGCAGGAACACCTTCCAGAGACCAGGTTGTCCAAGCCCCATCCAGACTCTCCTGGAACATTTCCAGGGATGGGGCAGCCACAACCTCTCATGTTAAGCTCTCAGCTATTTTAAGCTATGAGATACCGAGCTGGATTTGTTTTTTTTCTCTTCAAATTAATAATTTTTAAATGTTTGGGTGTTTTTATGTGTGCTTTGAGTCGGTACGAGCTGTGAAGCTTCAAAAGGCCTGGGAGAGTAGCATTTGCTTTGGGATCAGTCTGGCACCACATTGCACCACTCAGCACATTAATCCTGAACTTGTGTGGCCACCTCAGCAAGCTTTTCCATCCGGGAATGCCACATTTCCATGCCCAGCTGTCCTGGGGACGTCACTTCAGTTGCTTTGCTGCCACCAGCGCCGCTGCAAACGCTCCATTAGGGTGGTGCAACCTCACCTGTGCTGTTCTGCCCTCTTCCAACAATGCCCATTTTTGGCTTCTGTCCTTCTCCTGCTCTCCGGGTGACTTTCTCTCTCCTTCTCACTTCCCTCCTTTCTTTCCCTCTCTATAGGCACCGATATTCTTTACATCGGCCCCGTCAAAGGTGAGCTCCACCTCAATAGGACTTTTGCCCTCTGCCTCTGGTCTCTTTGGCTGCACCCTTAGTTTATTTTCCTGCTCCTCTAAAACTTTTGACTTCCAAAATCTTTAAGCAACAGGTAATACCGGTAAGTCGGGGGCCACTCACGTCCCAGATGCCACAGAAACACAGGGGGCAGGAGCTTCCCGGTGTGGGAGACCTGAGTCTTTTCCCATCCTTTGGGCTGGAAGTTTTCCATCAGTTTTGCTCTTGGAGAAGAGCCAAGAGAGAGGAGAGGGACAGGGAGAGCAAGCAGCGCAGCGTTTTCCCGTTGAGAAAAGATGAGAAGGGAAAGTTTTCCATGCGCCGGCTCCGGGTTTGGGCAGAGCCGGCGTGGCCGGGAGCAGGCAGGGCTTGGCCCGAGGCTAATTCCCGGCTTTTATTCCCCTCACTGGTAGGAAATATCTATTCAAGCCCAGGACTCTATAGCAAAACGATGACGCCGACCTACGACGCCCACGACGGCAGCCCCCTGTCCCCCACGTCCGCCTGGTTCGGCGACAGCGCCCTGTCCGAGGGCAACCCGGGAATCCTGGCCGTGAGCCAGCCCGTCACCTCCCCGGAGTCCTTAGCCAAAATGTACAAGCCCCAGACGCTGCTCGATAAGGCCAAAATCAACCAAGGGTGAGTGCAGGAGATGAGGATTTGGGGGGTTTTTTTTTGGATGATTTTTTAATGGTGTTCTCGAGAGCGTTGTGGGGACTCCGCCGGAGCGTCCCGTGTGCGTTATCCCGTGTGTGTTATCCCGTGTGCGTTATCCCGTGTGCGTTATCCCGTGTGCGTTACCCCGTGTTGGCAATCCACAGGTGGCTGGACTCGTCCCGATCCCTCATGGAGCAGGAGGTGAAGGAGAACGAGGCTTTGCTACTCCGGTTCAAGTACTACAGCTTTTTTGACCTGAATCCAAAGGTACAGAGCTCCTTGTTCCGCTCCCATTTTGAATTTTCCATCCTTTGGAGCGAACGGTGCCTGATCTCTAATGTGCTGTTGTATTGGTAAATCTCCCAAAGACTGTTGAAGTCTGAAAATTGGTTGTGCAGGCATCAAACCCAGGATTTGTGCTCCATTATACCAGGGGATTTGGGTGTTGCTAGAGGTGCTTCAAGAGCTCTTAAAGTTCTTCTTGTCAGTGGCAGAGGATTTTCATTCTCAGATCATTGTGTTGAGATGAGAGATCATAGAATTCCGGAATAGTTTGGGTTGTAATTGGCCTTAAAGGCCATCTCATTCCACCCCCCTGCCATGGGGAGGGACAGCTTTCAGTGGATGGGGTGGTTTGTGTCGGGCTGGGCTCCTGGTTTTCCGAGCATTCCGCGTTCCTCTGCCGCAGTACGACGCGATCAGGATCAACCAGCTGTACGAGCAGTCCAAGTGGGCCATCCTGCTGGAGGAGATCGAGTGCACGGAGGAGGAGATGATGATGTTTGCAGCACTGCAGGTGAGACACGGCCCCAGACGCCCCTGGGTTGGGTTAGGCTTGGTTTTGTTCTCAGATTTCTCTGCTCGTTAATGTGATAAATGAAATTGTGGAATCACAAAGTGGTTTGGGTTGGAAGGGACCACAAAGCTCATCCAGTTCCAGCTCCCTTCCACTATCCCAGGATGCTCCAATCTGGTCTTGGACACTTCCAATGATGGGACAGCCACAGCTTCTCTGAGCAACCTGTGCCAGGGTCTCACCACCCTCACAGACAAGAATTCCTTCCCAACACCCCTTCTAAACCATCCCTTCTTCTGTTTAAATTCATATTTTAAGCCTCACCTTGTCTCGGATGGGAGCTTGGCCTTCTCATGCTGGTAGGAGTTGGGTTATTTCCCATCCATCTCCAGATCCTCACTTGAGTTTATGAGATAATTTAAATACTTGCCATTGATTATCCCTCATGAAAAAGAACTTGACCTGCTTTTACCAAACATGTTTATATCTATCTTAACTTCTAGTTTTGTCCTTCTTAACCCATCCCATACGAACACGAGATCACTGAACTGTGTCTTTCTGGCTCTCTGCCCCCAAACCAGCTGGGGATAATCTGTGGCTTTCCCAGAACTATTTATTTATCTGGTTTGTGAAATGCTCTGTGTGATTTGGCATAAATGCTCCACCTGCTGTTGAGTTCATGAGAGGGATGGCAGGCCTTTGTTCCGTGTGGTCTGGCACACCTTGGAGCTGTAGGAAGCAGAAATGTCCCCCTCAGGAGCAGGGCTGCCTGTTCCAAGGGCCCCTCCCAGGAAAAAAAGAGAGAAAAGCAGAAATATAATGGCTCAGTTTACATCCAAGTGCTCCAGCATGGGTTGGGCACGGTTCTTCCTGTGAGATTTTATGGATGTTTTGGTTTTCTGGGGTGAAAACAGATGCAAAAACAAAGAATTCTACAATGGTTTGGGTTGGAATGGGCTTTAAAGGTCATCTTGTTCCACCCCCTGCCTTGGGCAGGGACACTTCCACTATCCCAGGTTGTTCCAGCCCCGTCCAGTTTGCCTTTTGACACTTCCAGAGATGGGAGATCTTACAAATATCCATAAACAGCTGGTGGGAGGCAGGAAAGGGGGTGGACAGAGGTGCCCAGTGGCAGGAGCAGAGGGCATGGACACAGCCTGGACACAGGAATGTCCCTCTGCACATCAGGAAGCATCTTCATACCAGGAGGGTGACTGAGCACCGGCACAGTTTGCCCAGAGAGGCTGTGGAGTGTCCACCCCTGGAGTTCCTCCAAAGCCAGGTGGGTTTGGTCCTGGACAGCAGCTCCAGGTGGCCCTGCTGGAGCAGGGAGTGGCACCAGGTGACCTCCAGAGGTCCCTTCCAACCTCAGCCTGGTGGAAAGAGCAGCTCTGCCCTGTGGGGTCCAGAGATCTCCCTCAGGATGTGTCTGGAGACTCCTTGGACTGGAACCATCCAGGATGGTCCTTCCTGAGCCAGCAAAACCCCCCCAGCATTTGCTGGCCTCTGCTCCTGGTGTCCCACCCTGCTTCCCAAGCATGGTGGCTGTGTCACCATGGTCCCGTGGGGTCCTGGGGTCACGGGAGCACCCAGGGGTGACCCTGGCCTTGCCTTGCAGTACCACATCAACAAGCTGTCCATCATGTCCTCGGAAAACCACCTGAACCACAGTGACAAGGATGTGGACGAGGTGGACGCCGCGCTCTCGGACCTGGAAATCACCTTGGAAGGTGGCAAGACGTCAACAATCCTGGTAAGGGAGGTTTTCCAGGCATTCAACCTCATTTGTTTCCTATTTTTCTTCTCATTCTGATGAGAAAGTTGCCCACACCCCAGTAATATTTTCTTTAAAATACAGGGATTTTAGATACCAAGGGATAGTTCTGAAAAGAGGGAACCCTGGGCAGCATCTGCAAAAGTCTTGGAGGAGCCAGGATTTTACTGATCCCCCCCTGCACCAAGCCACCCTCCTGATGAAATAATGGAAAACTAAATGGAAATTAAGTTGGTTTTTTTATCCTCACCACTGACTCTCCCAAATTACTGAGTTTTCCACGTTGAGGTTCCTCTTTCACTGTTTCTAATTCACATTTTACAGCACCTAAAGCAGCTGCTGGATTTTCAGAACTAATTTAGGCTTATGAAACTCTATTTTTATTAGGCTGGATTTTAGCCTAGGACTGTATTTCAGAGCATTTGGGGGTTTTTTTCTTGATATGTCATTTTAACACTGGTTTCCACCTTTAAAAATATAAAGCCTGAAAATTAAAGTGCATTAAAAGGACTCAGTCTTGTCAGCTTTGGCCCAGCACAGCTTTTCCAGGCATTTTGCACATTTAAACCATCTCTTTCCAACCCTAAAATCTGAAATTTTCCACTTTTACACTTCATATAATTTTTTAAGTGTTTATGACGGGTCTGTTTGAAGCTACAGCCATCCTTAGATGCTTTATTGGCATTAACAACAGCAGAGTTTTGCAGTATGAACCAGAAATAACAACAAATTTTTTATCACCAAGACGTATTTTCTAATTCCTTTTGCAAAACCAGATTTGAAACACATCAGTGAGGAACAGTCCCTGCCAGACAGGAGTGAAGAGGACAATGATTCATCCAAAAAATCCCATCCCTTTCCGTAGGGCTTTGGAGCAGGAGCCATTTCCAGATGCATTCGAGTAATTGAATACGGATAATGGGCAATTACTGGATTGTTTGTTTAGATTCTGCATTTTTTTCCCCTGTGGTATCTGTAAACAGTTTGTCATTGCAGACTGAAAGTAAACTGTCCTGCTACTGGAAGATCCTGGAGCAATCCTCCCTTTCCCTCTCCCTTGAAATTTTTTTTTACTTCCAGCTCCTGGGAATTGCATTGCCACCCTGATGCAAAAAAAGGGAATTTAAACTCAATATTTTCAACATTTTGGGGGAGAAAAAAAAAATATTTCAAGGCTTAGAAATCCCAGTTAGTTCTCTGCAGAGGTGCCCCTTCCCCTTTTTGTTTGGAGCATCAGGAATAAGTGAAGGGAGGAGAAAACTCGCTGTGCAGTGGTGACCCTGGGCTGGGAATTGGCTCCAGCAGCAGCAGGAATTCCTCAAAGGAAAATCAATCCTTGTCCTCTGCTTTCAAAACAGAAAAAAGCATTTTCCACTGCTGGGAAGGGGTTTGGGCTTTCTCAGAGCAGTTTCCCAGCCCCTAAGCCCTGATGGTGCTCCTGGATCCCTCCCCTGCACCACCTCCCTTCCCTGGGATCCCACTGCTCCCAGTGATTGGGAAAATCTTTGATTTCCAGGGTGACATCACTTCCATCCCTGAGCTCGCTGACTACATTAAAGTCTTCAAGTAAGTGCTGATGGGAAGAGCTGCTTGTGGAACTGGTAATGCCTGTGAATAATTAATGGTCCTGCTTCTTAATTTCCTTTTATTTTTATCTCCTTGCCTTATGATATTCAAAATATTCAATACTTAAGTTAATTGGTTCTTAAATACAAAAATCAAGGTGTTTTCCTCCTCTGGTGCATCCTATAGCTAGCAGTGTGTGCTTGGGTGTTTCTTTAATGCCCAGGAGAGAACAAACCATCCTAAAATGAGGAGTGAAACCTAAAAACCTCCCTCAAAGACTCCTCCTGGTCTGCAGGAGGCTGGAGGAATTCCACCCAGCCAGGATTCCAGTCTCTCCATGCCAAAAGGAGCAGGTTAAGCTGACTCTGCCCCTCTCCCAGCTTGCTCAGGATTTAGGGGTTTTTTTTTAGCTTGCTTTGGCTTGGTTGGTGGTTCATGGAAATCGGGAGCAGCAGTGTCTGCACTTGGAGGAGCATTTTTGGCAGCCACCACCATCTTTTGTAATTTATTGCCTGCTGCAGTGAAAGTTCTGGAAGCTGGAAACGCTGATGGGATTTCACAGCAGAGCTGCAGGATAGTGCTGGTGGGGGGAAAAAGCTGCAGACAGTGAAGTAGCTCTGGAACAAACCTTTATTTTATGAATTGTTTGGTTCTGGAGCCAGAACCTGGCACTCTCTGCCCTGAAAACCCCTTCTCCCTGTCCAGAGGGGAATTAATGAGGTCTCTGCCTCTGTCTGGGCTTGTGGTCTGCCTTAACTGGGATGAAGATTCAAGGCTGTGCCCAGCCCCTCAGTGGGTGTTTTTTCCCTCCTTTGAACAAACAAACAAACAAAAAACTTGTTCTTCCCCTTGATCTGCTGATTTGCCAATCAAATTAGGCACCACTCCGGGAGCTAATTGCCTGCAAATTGGAGCACCAGGGGATGGAGCAGCCAGAAGCTGCTGGTTCCTCACTCAGTGCAAGCCCCAAACCCTGGGGTTGGGGTTTGAGGCTCTCAGATTGAACACAGAATTCTGTTTGCTCCTAAAATTGGGGCTCAGGTGGTGTTTTAGTGCCAGAAATGCAGTGTGAGTGGTGCAATGTTTGGAGCTGTCCCAGCTCTGGATGTGTCACACTTCAGCTGGGGAGGAGAACTGGGGGAGCAGTGCATGTCCCTTGTATTCCATATATTTAATTCCATATATTTATTTTTAAATGTGTCCCAGCATGTGCCTGGTGTGCCTATAGAGATTTGCAATGCTTCTGTCTCCCCTGCCAGCCGGGTTATTGCCTTTGCCAGCTAAAATCACAGAATCCCAGAGTGTTTGGGGTTGGGATGGACTTTAAAGATCATCCTGTTCCAACTCTGCCATGGCAAGGATGCTTTCCACTGTCCCAGGGTGCTCCAAGCCCTGTCCAGCCTGGCCTTGGGCACTGCCAGGGATCAGGGGCAGCCACAGCTGCTCTGGGCACCTGTGCCAGGGCCTGCCCACCCTCACAGAGAAAGATTTCTTCTTAATATCCCATCTTAAATACTCTCAGCAGCATTTTCTGAGATGAAAACACAAGAAATGCCTGAGAGGCTGCAGATCCAGCCTTAGAATAAAGTTTAGAAATCAGGGAAGGTTAAACTATTCTGATACTTGGGGCTCTGTAAAGGCTCTGGGCTTGTGCTGAGATGAGTTCAGGGTGCTTCACATTGCAGGGCCACCAGTTCTCCTGCAGAGTCGAGCAAAATCCATGCTCTGTGTAGAAAAGAAGGGAACCTTTTGTGCTGAGGAGTGTTTAAAAAGAAAACAAGGAGTGCGCTCAGGCGTGTGCGTGACTGACGCGTCCTTGGAAGTGCTGCTTCCCCCAGAGCCTGAGCAGAGCACTTCCAGTTCCATGTGGTGTCTGCAGAGGCAGAGTTTGCAGTGCTTCAGCCCTCCAGCTCCCCCCACCTTGCCCCAAATTATCTCCCTGGGATTGAAGAGTCCAAACTTGGAATTGGAGCTCAATTCCTCGAGCCAGCAGTGCAGGAATGGCTGAGCCCCCAGGCAGGAGTGGGAATAACCCAGGCTGCTGACAGCAGCTTGCCAGGGCTGAAATTCTGAGCGAACACTGAGCTTTCCAGCTTGTTTTAGGAGCTCAGGCCAAGTGAGATGTCCCCCCACGTGTCCTGCAGGCCCAAGAAGCTGACGTTGAAAGGCTACAAGCCCTACTGGTGCACCTTCAAAGATACCTCCATCTCCTGCTACAAAAGCAAAGAGGAATCCAACGGGACTCCTGCTCACCAGATGAACCTGAGAGGTAAGAGAAGCACAAGGCTGGGCTAAGAGAAGCTGCTTTTTATTCCAGGAATAGGCTGCTCCTCCTGCATCTTGTTTTCCCACTGCTTTATCGTCTCGGAATTCCATCCTGGGGTTGGGTAAAGGTGTGTAAAGGAATGAAGTGGCTGGGTTTGATATCGTGGCACAGACTTGGAGTTCTGAGTGTGATTATGTGTGATCCCACAGGGAAGCACCACCAACCCCCCAATACCTTGAGAAGGGAGCTTGGAGAACCAAGGAATGGTTTGGGTTGGAGGGGACCTTCCAAACCTTGTTCCAACCTTCCGCCTGCCCCTTCTCCTTTTTGTCAGCTCTCCAAAGGACTGCACTGACTCCCACAGCAGAAACTGGGAAGAACAGACCATTTTCTTCCTCTGCTGCCTTTATTTCTCCTCCTCTCCCTGCTGCTGGCTGGGAGCAGCTCACTCCGGAGCTGAAATTCCTGTGGTGGCTGCCTGTCCTTGTGTCAAGTGAAACATTCCTGCTCCAGCAGCCACGCAGCTGCCGTGAGCTCCTGTGTTCTCCCCGTGGATGTGGGAGCAGGGGGGATGCCAGGTGACCTCAGGCTGCTGTGGGAGCAAGGCTTGGCCCCCAGGACCTTTCTGGGAGCTTTTGACAGATCTGCTGTGACGGCAATTTCAGAAATCTGCGAGGCGGCGTTGGCGCGGCGCCCGTGGCGGGGTCGGTTCATCACCCCTGTGTTCACACAGCCCCTTGGAATCCTCTCCAGGCACCAGGAGCAGGATGCTCACAGCCAGATCATGGAATCCCTCAATGGTTTGGCTTGGAAGGGGCTTTAAAGCCCATCCAGTTCCACCTGGCTCCCACGGGCAGGGACACCTTGCACTAAACCGGGATGGTCCAAACCCCACCCAGCCTGGTCTGAAACACTTCATGGCATCCCATCCGTCATCAGTAACATGGAGGGGTTTCAGGGTGAGAGTCAACACCTGTCCAGTCACCTTTTCATGAAGATTTTGGGGTTTGCCAGCCACTGGATCAATTTCTGATTCCAGGCAGGATCCAGGAGTTCTGTGGGTTTGCTTTTGCTTCATTGCTTTCAGGTCAGGTCTTGCTTTTCTCCCCCATTTTCCTGACACTTGTAAAAAGGGACATCTGACAGGTTTTTCTGTGCTGTGTGGAGTGTTCATCCCATCAGAGGTGTGGGACAAACCTTTGGCAGCACTGAGATGCCACCAGAGACCCCTGGGCCAGGGAGCTTTGCTCTTTCTTTTCCTATTTTTGCTTTCTTTGCCGTTTTTTAAATCATCATGCCTCACACCCCTGCTAAACCCCTCATTGCAGGATGTGAAGTTACCCCTGATGTGAACATCTCTGGTCAGAAATTCAACATCAAACTCCTGATTCCAGTGGCAGAGGGGATGAATGAGATTTGGCTGCGCTGCGACAACGTAAGTTCATCTCTTGGACTGGTCACCTCTTCAACCTTTTCCCACCATCCCACCATCCTGCTCAGGGGCTGTTCTTTAAAAAACAAACAGAAAATGCTCCCACCTGCCTGATCTCAGCATTCCAGATATGCTCCAAGTCACCTGTGAGTTCATTTGGGATTCACATTCTCTGAACCCGAGAGAAGCAGAGAAAAGAATGATCAAAACAATTCTTATCTCATTTGCTGCTCCTGTGTTGTGCCAAAGCAGAATGCAGTTTGGAGATTGTTTACCCAGAGTGATGGTGTTTTGTTTCCTTGGCCTGTCAGGGCCAGGGGCATGTGCAGGCTGTGGGTCAGCAGACACTCATGAGGTTCTGGGCAGTTGAGTTGGGTGATTTGTGCAGATTCCGTTTAGATGTAATGTAATATAATATAGAATAATTTAGTATAATCAAGTAATTAATTAGCCTTTTGATAAGTTGGAGTCAGATGCATGATTTCTCTCTCCTTATCAGGGGTTGCCTGCTTTTCCTAGGAGTTCAGAGCAGAAAATCAGCTTTGGCTTTGTCGTGTGGTTTTTGGCCAACACGTTGGTTGGGTTCCTGCCTGTCTTTGTGCATGCTGGAGTCTCCTGAGGCTGGGAGGGGAGGGAGGGCTCCGTGGGATGTTGTTTGAGAGCTCTGGTGGTCCCGCCATGGCTGTGACAGACACGTGTCCCTGTTCTGGGGGGCAGGAGACGCAGTACGCCAGCTGGATGGCCGCCTGCCGCCTGGCCTCCAAGGGCAAGACCATGGCCGACAGCTCCTACGGCATGGAAGTGCAAAACATCCTGTCCTTCCTGAAAATGCAGCATTTGAACCCAGACCCGCAGCTCATCCCAGAGCAGATCAACACTGACATCAACCCCGAGTGCCTGGTGTCTCCCCGCTACCTGAAGAAGTACAAGAACAAGCAGGTAGGTGCTGCTGGTGGCCTTGGCTGGGCTGGACACGCGTGCTGGTGTTTAACACGGCGTGGTTTGGATGTTTTGGATGTCCTCACTCACTGGGATGCACGTGGGTACTAAAAGGAGGTGGGACTGAAGGGTTTGGTTTGGATCCAGCACCTGGGGATGGCACCCAGCACCGGGATTGTGCCACGTGCTGTGTGAAGTGCACGGGCACGGCGGGGAACCTTCAATTGGAAATGCATTTGAAATTGGTTGATGTTTATTTTAAACACATTCTGGGAATGGTTTGGCCCCTGCTGATACTGGTTTGGCTCCAGCTGCCCCATCTCTGCCCGGTGCTGGGGTTAAAACCCCTTCCCCTGCACAGAATCCATGGAGAAATCCCCGGGATCAGCGGAGTTGCAGTTGCTTGCAGTGCTTTATCCACACTTGGCTGTAACACGGTTTGCATATTTCTCTCTTTGCTTTTCCACTGCTTCCAAATGCCAGTCCTTGGAACATTGCTTCGGTTTTGAGTTGCTGTGACTCGTGCTTGAACTCCATCCACGCTCCATCCCATCCCTGCCTGACAGGGCTGAACTGTTCCGCCCTGGGAATAAATGCAGGATTCTCTCAAAGAGAATTATATGTCAGAACAGCAGCAAAAATAAGGAAAGCATTGCTCCGTGGCCTTTTGGTGACTTAAATCCTTCAGGCTGCTGGCTGGGGCTGGATGTGATTTCTCCAAGCCCAGAAGAAGGCTGCAAGTCAGAGAAGCCGGAAAAATATAACTTTTTATTGGCACAGCACGATGATTTCCTGGCAGTGGAGTTATATTTTATATAGCCCTTATTATTCTCCTGAATAAGCCTTTATATCCCCTTGGATGGAGGAGAGGCTGCATAAATATACTACTTTAACATATATATAGAGAGAGATATATATTTATATATATAAAATACTTTCTAGGTTTCTGGGAAAACAGAGGCACCTGGAAAAATATTAGCTTGGAAAACTTGCTTACTGTGCAAGTATCCTGATTATAAAAATAAAATCTATGGAATTGTGGGGATGGGCACGATGGGGATGATCCCAGTCAGGATGTGGACACCAGGGCCCTCACAGGCATCAGCTAAGCAGTGGATTTAGGATTTTCCTTGGTGGCCAGAGGCAAAGCCTGGAGCAGCAGAGGATGTTTGCTGAGAGGAATGAGGGATGGAGGCTGCAGGAATGTCAGGAATTTGACCACAAGGGTCCTTCTGAGGCGCAGGGAAGGAGGGGGAGGAGGAGGAGGAGGAGGCTGTGCAGCCCACAGGAGGTGCTGAAATGGGAATTGGCTGTGGATTTATGGAGGCTCTGGGTCCTCACCAGCCCCAAACCCACTGGGATTATGTTTGCCTCCACGTGCAGCAGCATAGGGTTGGCAGGCTAGGATTGGAAGCACCAAATCCTAAATGAAAATAAACAAAAACCGACCCAAAATAGGGATTTTCAGAGCTCCCAGGTGCCCTGCCAGAGTTTGGTGTCAGAGCCAGCTGGGGCAGACACATCTCTGGGAAGCACAGCTGATTTTCCCTTCATTTGCTTGTAATCCCAGGCAGCATCCCAGTCATTAATCCACGTATCCCAAACAGAAGGATCTGCTGAGCTCAGAGTGAGCTCCTGAGCTCCCCCTCGAGCTTCCCCAGCCAGAGAGCGGCCTTGAGTTTGTGCAGAGATGTGGAGAGGAAAGTGAGGCCATGAACCCACCTGAACCGGCAGCTCACCCTCCCCGTCACCCCCAGCAGGAATCACAGAATGTCCTGAGTGGGAAGGGACCACAAGGACCGGAGTCCAGACCCCCAACAATCCCACCCTGGGCATCCCTGGCAGCACTGGCCAAACACTCCTGGAGCTCTGGCAGCCTTGGGGCCGTGCCCATTCCCTGGGGAGCCTGGGCAGTGCCTGTTGCAGTGCCCAGGAACCTTTTCCTGAAACCCATCCCAAACCATCTGAGGACCAAAACCATCTCTCCACAAGGCCAGGGCCCAGCTGGGATCACTCCAGTGCTCCAGCAGGGCTGGCGTGAGCGGTGACTCTCTGCTCGCTTGTCCCTGCTCACATTCCCTTTGGCTGCTTTTCCACCTAAGGAATTGTGCATGTGGTTTGTTTTGGTTTGTTTTTTTTTTTTGCTTGAACTTTGGTTTGCAGTTAATTTACACTTTTTCTTTGCTTTGTTGCCATATTTCTGATTGCTTTTTTTTCTTTCTGCCTCCTTTTCTTTTTTTTTATTTTTTCATTTCGCCTTGCCATCTTCAGCCAGGCTATGTAAGAGACTTGGTAAGTGACAGCAACAATAAAATTAAGATAAACTTAAAATAAATTTAATCTAGAACCCCTTTGGTTTCGAGAGCAGCGGTGAAAGCACTAACAAAACCTGCACCCTCCCTGTGACAGTTGGGCCCTGGTAGGTTTTTATAACAGTCCCCAGTGACTTATGGGGTGAAACTGGAAACCCTGCACCACAAATTTGCCTTGTTGTTTCCTCACATCCTTAAAGTTCCTGAGAGCATGAGTGGGAATGTGAACATGTCTGGTCAGACAGCTCTGATCTATATTTGCTTTCCTGTATCTGGAGATGGGAATCTCCACGTGGGCTCTGAGCAGTGGGAGCTGAAAGAGCTCAGGGGAGGAATTAT